GCTTATGTTGACACATTTCATCTTCAAGACTCCGATTGGTAGTTAACCTATCTTTCAGGTTCTAGATTAACAAAATACTAATCACCCCCAACACGTCGTCTAAAACACAATTTATCTGAAAACATTAGTTAATAGAGCTACACTATACAACAATTATTAGTAATTAACAAACTCGATTTTTATATAAAAGGCTTTTCTAATACTCCCTCCGTCCCGCTAACAATGGAACAAGAGGGAGCGACACGCAAATTAATAAAAAGTGGTTTAAGTGGTTGATATTGAATTGATAAAGTAACAATAAAGTAAGAATGATTTAGAGTCACACAAACTTTACCAAATTTGGTATGAGACAATCTTAGTGGGACAGACCGATAAGGTAAAATGGGACAATAATAGCGAGACGACGGTAGTATTAGTTAAGCTATATTAGGTTGTTTTTACTTGGACTGTAATTCGTCCCAGACCAGACCAAAACAGACCAAACTAGACCAGATCAAACTAAAACTGACCAGACCAGACCATATTATATCATCATCATCATCATCATCATTATTAAGGGTGTGCACCAGTTCAAAACCGGACCGGACCGTACTGAACCGAACCGGATATCATTCCGGTTCGATCCGGTTCCTGTTTTTCCGGTCCGGTTCGGTTCGGTTTTCCGGTTTAAACCGGATATAGTGCACGCCCCTAATTATTATTATTATTATTATTATTATTATTATTATTACTACTACTACTACTACTACTACTAGTATTATTACTATTATTATTATTTTTATTATTATTATTATTATTATTATTATTGTTTTTATTATTATTATAATAATTATCATTATTATTATTATTATTATTATTCCGGTTTGATATGGTCTGTTCTGTTTTGGTCTGGTTTGGTCTGGTCTGATCTTCTTCGTTCTGGGATTGAAATCAGACCAAGTAAAATGATAACAATTTTCGATAATTTGGCAGGAATATTATTATTTTTAATTATAAATGAATTAAATATAATTATTTATGGATTATAAAATATATATATAAAAAATAAAATCTTTATGCAAAAAATATAAACAATAAAATTCGAGACCAGACCAAAACAGACCAGACCAGACCAGCAAATTACATTCCAAGTAAAAACATCATTAGAGTTTATTTTTTATGTCAGTGTCAGTGCCTATCAACGTCACTGCTGGCACCATCAAAGAAAAAATATTCTGACAATCTTTCTGACGAAAGTTTAAAAGAATTGAAAAAATTACCTTTGATCCAAAAAAGGTGAAATCTCCGATCCCAGGAGCCCCCCATTCCGACCCGACAAAATGGTGGGAAGGTTAGTCACGGTGGCTCAGTCAGCAGAATAGCAGTAGGCCCATACACCCGTGCGCACCAGAGACCCAGCCTTATTGTAGGTTCTGTGACGTCCACCCGGTCACTGCGGGGATTCGAACCTTGGTCCATTGATTCAAATCTCCCACCACTCGACCAACTGAGCTACCCGTGCGGGTAATTGAAAAAATTACCTGTGAAAATGTGATGTGACTTTTCAGGAGCAACCGCTAATCGTTGTTGGTGGTGGAGACAGTGGGATAAGGGGGGCATGGGTGGGTAGTTAAGTAAGAATTAGAATTAAAAGACAATTATTTTAATTAAATAAATATTACTCACATTTAAAAAAAACTATGTGGAACTAATCATATTTTTACATTCTAAGGATATTCTAAGGATGTTTTTACTTGAACTTATATCAATCACATATATCAGACTTAAACAGTTCATACTAGATTTTAGAAGACGAGACTAGACTTCTAGAGTTATACGATACACAAATACTAAAAATCAACCAGATCAGATCGTACTGAACCGGATTTAAAAAGATAAGATCAATCTAGATCAAATCAGATTAGACTACAAAATTTCAATCAAATTAAAAATATCTTAAAAGTGTGGAATTAATATTTTTACCATTTTTTCTTATGAAATGAAACTAGTTTCTTGACGTGCCATGCGCGTTCGTCTAAATGCCTAAGCATATTATTTTACTCACATCAACTTATTTTTAACTCATATATATACTACGTATGCAATAAGACACTAAGATTGTGGGTATGTTTGGCACAACTAGCTAAAAAGATACTTTTAAGAGCTTTTTAATAACTGTTAGCTTTTAGTGACTGCAAAGGTCTTAAAGAGAAAAGGTGGTACCTGTTTGGTAAAAAGTTGATTGTTTGATTTAGTTCGATTTGATATACAAGTTGTTAGGACTAATTAATTTGAACAATACAAAAGCTACAAGAGAGGAGCTTATGCGTGCCAAACATAGCCTGAATGTAGCTAGTATTTCTCTATGGTGAAATAAATTATTATCTTATGTAGATAATTTTTGACTATATATTTCAAGCTCATTTAATCAAGTATCAAACACATGTGTGGGGACTGGATTTGTTTGTATGACTATTATTATTCATCTTTATTTTTAATCAGAAAGGTGATATTCAATAATATTATAGAATGATATGAATCATTGTTTGGAAATAAAGAATGAATGTGTATCAATGAAATACATGTTAGAAATATTAATGTAACCAATTATTCGTAACTAATTTTGGTTTTCATGTTTCAAAAATTGTGAAAAGAACTAAAATGGGCTTTTTAAATACGGAGTGGTATGAACTAACTTGGAACATTGCCCTAAATAGGAGTAAACAAGTTTGAGAATTTCAAAATAGAACTACTGCGTGTTTTTTCTAGAAATAGAATTTTACTATCATGATTGAAAAATACTACCATTAATTATAATAAATAGGGAGATTTTCCAATATAAGTGTAAATGAAGTTTGGAATTCCAAAATAGGACTACTATGTTTTTATTCCCAAATTAGACTAACTTGTCAATATTTACTATCATCTTATAGACGTGACTGCCAAATAGTTGCAGTACAATGTATTTAACATGGCAGTATTTATTATAATTAATGACATTATTTTTCAATCATGGCAGTATTTTTCATACATGGCAGTAAATTAATAACAACTCTTATTTCAGGATGAAAAATATAGTAGTCCTATTTTGGAATTTTAAACCTCATTTATTCCTATTTAGAGCAATTTCCCTATATAGTAGTCATTTTGAATGCATAGTGCTGCAACTATTTGACCGTCATGACTAACAGGTGATAGTAAATACTATTACCTTACTCTTATTTTGGGAAGAAGAGCATAGCAATATTTAATTAAAAAGAAAACTATTGAGAAGTTTATGAGAAGTCTTCATAGTCAATATTTAATTAAAAAGAAAATTATCAAATAGGTCTTCGATTCTTTGTACTACCATGAAAGCGTCAATTATATTATCATATTTTAAAGGCTCTTGATCAAATTCCCTGAACTTTAGAAAACATTCTATTGAGACAATTAACATGTTATTCGCCATGTAAGCAATTTACCTGCTGACGTGATGCCCCACATGTGCGCCCAACCATAAGGTAATTGCTGGCTCAACACATATGTGGGCCACCATGTCTGCGCCACGTTAGCAAATAACTTGTTGACTGGGCAAGTAACATGTTAATTGGCTCAATTGAACATTTATTCAAAGTTCAGGGATTTAATTAAGTTCTTTTAAATTACAAAAATGAAATTGACTTTTTCATATACAATAGTACAAGGATTTATTTGATAGTTTTTAATTTCATTAGTGACATGAATAATTAATTAGTTAAATAAAAAGAACAATGCAAAATAGTAGCTAATAATTAACTAAAATGTAATTCTAAAGATGAGAGATTGAAGTCCTGAGGAAAGGGATGTTGGTAGATAATGGAAATCGATTGTTTAAGATACTGAAAGTTGCACTAACCATTGATCACACCCTTCCCTTAAAACTGAAGTCATTATGAGCTCACATGTACCAAAATATTTACATTAGTACAATGACTTTATGCTATTAAAGACACCAACACATTTTTTATCACCATTATGCCCTGACATTATTCATTTGAGAGCATAAAAGTTCAAAAGAAATCATCCACGTGAGGTGGGTTCCACAGAAAGTTGCGGTGGGTCCCACCAACGAGCTGTGAAACGGTGTGTGCATGAACTTTGCTACAATAGGAAACATTCAGTTGTAGGGGGCAACTTGACCTTTTCTTCCAATTAGCAATCTACTTAGAAACTCCGTACTTCATTCCTCTCGCGTGCGTACATACTCATACGTATTTTTTTTCTTGTAGATATATAGGAGGAAAATTGTAACAATTAATTACAAACTAACAAAAACTGCAAATAAATGAGAATAAATGAGATTCATGGTAGACTGTCGTAATTGGACAGTTTCATTTTTCTTAAAAAAGTTTGCACAGATTACAGACTTGTGTATTTGACATTTCTACAATCAGAGTGGATATTAAGGGATATTAAGGGAAATTCCATTTAATATGGGATTTCATCAATTTTGAAATTGGAATGAATTTCATGTATCCTCAATTATAATTTTGAGAATTCCATCAAATTTGGAGTGTTCTCAACCGAAAAACTAATCACTCTATTAAAATTTGGGAAAATGGAAACTAATAATCCAACCTTTTAGCGATCTTCTTACAATAGTCTCATATTTTGATTATTCATTAATAATATAACCTTTTCACTCCATCTTCATTCACTGGTCCCTGGCCGATTTATGACCTGTTATTTCAAGTTATTTTCTTATCTTTGCAAAAAATTATGCAAAACATTCACTATTCTTTGTATATACTCATTCATTCTTTATTCAATTGATTGGTGCCTTGGGAACTCGTTGAATTTGTAGCCCGAGTTTTGGCTTACTAGAGGACAAGCAAGTGCTTAAGTGTGGGGGAGTTGATAATGCTTAATTTGTATACTTTTTTACTCTCCTTTTAATCTCACATTTGGTTCACTTTCGAGTTAATTGTGCTATAATTGATTGGATTTTCAGTCCAATTTACCAACCAGTGCTACTCATCAGTTTTGTAAGTTTTTAACAGATTTTGGACATTTAGAAGCATCCCGAGCCATCATGGAAGACTGAGAACACATTTGGTCAATTTTGGGTCAAGATACAGCTGACCAGTGAACAGGTCAACCTTCCTATGGCAGCCTGCCATCTCCCGTAGTCCATCCAGTAGAGCAGCAGCAAAGAATCCAACGGGCAGCAGAGTAACCCGCAGGAGCAGAACAGGATGGCAACTGTGAAGTCACGGCCACACGCCGGGATCCAGGACATCACCATCGCCATAGCCCACGCAATCACTACCAACCGTCATCCTCACGAGACTGCACTCCTACGCTTCGGCCAACCGCCCCGGTCTCTGCCTAATCACCGTTGCAGGCGTCCCTCGAGATGGAGAAGGTTCACTGCCGCCGACCTCGGTAATCACTTAAGTTTCGGCGGAGGAGAAGACCCGTAGCAGAAGCTCGACGCGGCCATTGTATCCGCTCAACGGCTTCGGCATCAGAGAGGAAAAGAGCCGCACCCGCAGCTATGGTGAAACCGAAGATCAGCCCTACAGTGCTGCGTACGAACTACGAAGAAGAAATGGGCCTGCAGCCCTATTCTGATTTGAAGCACAGAATGACGAAACTACCACCAGTTTGCTCTGTATTCATTTTCAGACCTTCTACCCTTAGTAGTCATTTGCCCAGCCCGAATTTGACACTTTAAATATCAGTTGCAGATCAGATTTGGGGGGGAAGCCATTAGAGAAGTCACATTAGAATAGATTTTACATTTTAGATTAGGGTTTCTACATTTCATCTCTCTAGCATTAGTGTAGATTGTAGAGGTCTCTACTCCAAGATTCAAGCTTTCTACTTGCATTTCAATGGATTGCTTCTCATCTTTAAAGGGGGTATTCTTCTACACTTATTACTTTATTTAAATTCAAAGTTTTAGTCTTTTAGTTTTATTTATGCACTTTTATGTTAATGTTCTTGTTTTATTTCCAATGCATGAGTAGTTAGATGGGTTAGGGCGCTGTTTAGAGCATATTTATGTGATTGAAATGTTGGATGACTAGAATCGAATTTTATTGCTTGAAATGTGTTTGTGAAAATGCCTTAATGACATTAGTTAATGCAATTTTGAGAAACCTTGTATTTAATTATTTGGGAATATTTAGATGAGAATCGGATATTCATTTGCCCCTTTCACACACACCTAGGCACAACCATGAGAGTGGCGGGCCTAGGGGGTTTCTTTGCTTTAGATCATTTTCATTGGTGTCGATAGGCGGTTCCGGACCATGAGAGTGGCCAAGATCGTCTATTGATCGATCCTACGACCACAAGAGTGGCTGAGGAACCGTTGTGCATGCTCTTTCTTGTAATAAAGTTCTAATACTATTTTGTCTAACCCTCAATTCCAATGTGAGTTCCAAACATGCCCCCGACACCCTTATGCATCTTTATTTCGTAGTTTAGCTCATTTAGCATCTCCTCTTGATCATGTTTGTGTTTTAGCCTCATTTGCTCCACTTTAGTGACACATTTGCCTATTCGATCGTTGCACTCACTTACACGCCATCCCTGTGGTTCGACAAACCCCATCCCGTTTACCACTATACATTTTACTTCTCTCGCACTCACATTTACACTTCATTTTCCTTCTTTTTGATTGACTCGGGATTCGCACGCAACAACCTATATCATCTGTTATATTATAGGCGGGTCCCGAGGTCATCAAAATGGCGCCGTTGCCGGGGATGGAGTTAGTGATTGATTGAATTAGCATATGTGTTTTCTATTTTGGAGTTAGTTTTTATTTTCATTTTTTATTCCTTTTACTTTCACCCCGTATTTCTTTGCTTGGTTTTGTGCTTGAAGTTTCTTATAGGTGTTGATGGCATATCACTACAATGGCTATGGGAGTCAAGAGCCTCAGGGAGATTCTTCAAATTCTCAATCTTTTAACCCCTACCTTCAACCTCCTCAAGCATCACAACCATACACCCAACATCCTCAAACCAAGAGTCTTACCCCTTTCACCCCTCCTACCCACAATACCAAAGCTACTCACCCTCTACCTCGTACTACCCACCATCTCAAGAAGCCTCACTCTCACCCAATCAACCAAATGGACCCTCCCTCCCTCCAACTAAAAGGGAAAAACTATTGCCGAGTACATGTATGAGCCCATGTATCCATCACGTGAGACTCTCGCTAATACATGTAAACATTGTTTCGGGCCTCATGAGGTGGACGATTGTCCTCCTACTCTTCTATTCAAGCAATCCGCTCAATGTGGTACTCAAGGATTCCAACAAGCTAGCTATGTGCCTTCTTATCACCCTCCGGCCCCCATTGAGCTAAATGAGTCATCTATGAAGTTGGTGAGCAAGTTGGATGATATTTTGTGTGGTCTCATGCAATCTTGGGAACAAGAACTTCATGAAATGTCCACCGACTTGAAGTAAATTTCTCAAGAACTCACGGAGGAGACTTTGTTGAGCATTCCGGAGTCCACCCAAGAGGAGCAAATACATGAAGTTGGTATTGATCGTGGTGATGAGGTGACCAAAGAAGAAATCCCCATTGAGCTTCAAGAAGAAAAATATCCAACTCAACTTGAGTCCTCAAATATTTGTGATGAAGAAGCCATTTGGGAGGAATTCATGGAGAGAGTTGAAGAGTTGAGCATAGAGGGTGAGCTGGAGATTCTTGAAAGTGATATCCATATTTGTGAGGAACAAAGGTGTAGTGCTTGATCGGAGATCTCTAGAGCATTATTGGGTGATAGCTTTGAACTCAAGAGGAAAGACATTGATGTTGAAAAGAAAGAAGAGGTTCAAGTTGCACTCGAGAGTGAGGAGAAGAATCCAAATTCAGGTTTTCATGGCACTCTTCACTTGATGGTTACTAGTGCGCCTATGTCTACATGATTCAAGGAGAAGAAACTTGAGGATGGGGAAGGGTTTGTGCATGAAGGCTATATTCTTGATGTAGATGATTGTGGAAGGTATGAAGATTGGGAGCTCCTCATTTGGTTTAGAGAGTTTAAGGATGAACGCCACTTGAAGGCGAATCTTGATGACAAAGTGGAGGCATTGCAAATGAGTGCTCCACCGCATGACTTGGAGCTTGAGAGCTCAAGAGGTAACCGTTGGGCATACGACGAGTTAAAAAATAGCGCTTCTTGGGAGGCAACCTAAGTGCATTGCATATTTTATTTTCTCATTTACTTCTCCCCTCTTTCTTGCATGAGCATGTTTACTTTCACTGTCATTTACTTGCTTTAAATAAGTGTCTTTTCTAGTGAGCTTCTCTTATCTTTTGTGGCTTGATCTTTGTTGCTTTATGGGGGCGCCCCGACGCTTAGCTTTTGTGCTTTCATGTTTATCGTTGTGCTTACTTGTTTGATATTGGAGCTTTGGTCTCTTTCCCCGCTTTGTGTGCTAACTGAGACATCGAGGACAATGTCTTTCTTTAAGTGTGGGGGAGTTGCCAAAGTGGGCTGATTTTTGACTCTTAGTGTGGGGGTTTTGCATGCTATCCTTGAAGTGAGTTGGAACTTGTGGTTTATGAGTTTGATTGTGGTCTCTGTGACACTTCTCAATTGATGTAAAGAAGGAGTTTGTACATGCATGTGAATAGGTGTATAAACTTGTTTAAAGGTGCTCATTGATTAACTCTTTTGCTTGAGACTAGTTGGAAGTGATCACTTTGACAACTTGAGCGTTTAGAGACACACTTTCACACACTCACACTCATCGCATGAAATGAAGAAGGCATTAGTTCACCTCCATTAAATCCACATTTCCGCCCCCATCACTTGCATGTTCCCCTTAGGTAAGGCCAATTTGAGCTTGACCATTTCTTTCTCTATCCATTATTGCTCTATGACCATATTGCTTCGACTTGGAACCGTGGTGGGTGTTTGAGTTTTCATTAGGTTCTGATAGGTGCACAATGGGTGGATTTACCTTAAATTTTGCCCTTGAGGGGGTTGAGATGCAATGATGACTAGGGTGAGCATGGCAGCCTTTTGAATCCTAATGCTCTTCATTTGTCAGGTTGTGTCGAAGTTATTGGTTTGGGACATTATCCTTGGGAATTTCATCTCCGTGGAGGGGCTCTGCTCTACTCGTTAATCGTATTCTGCGAGAGTAGAGTATATTTTACATTAGATACCCAACAAATCAATAAATAAGCACATCCATGACCAGCCATTCTTTCAAAAACAAAAAAAAAAACAAAAAAAAGTGCTGACTCATCTCCAGTTTGAACCAAAACCCTTTTGCACACTCAAGGTATACACTAGCAGGTGGTTGAGCCTTGAGTGTGTACCATTGCTTGCCCACTAAAGTCGGAGCTATAGATGATACCCCTTCGGGTAAGAACCGTGGTTGCACCTTGATCACCTTCGATTGCTCCTACACCTGACCATCTTTAGATATTTGGCCTTTCCCATCACCTTGACCACCCATAACCTTTCATCCACGTTAACCATCCCATAAATCCTTTTGATCATGCCTTGAGGTAGAATGTGAGAGAGAGGTGACCTTGTGAGGACAAGAGGGGAAAATGTGAGAGAGAGGTGACCTTGTGAAGATTTGATCAATAAACATCTTTAACTTGTTTATACATTTTGTCTCTTGACATTCACTATTCTTTGCATATACTCATTCATTCTTTATTCAATTGATTGGTGCCTTGGCAACTCGTTGAATTTGTAGCCCGAGTTTTGGCTTGCTTGAGGACAAGCAAGTGCTTAAGTGTGGGGGAGTTGATAATGCTCAATTTGTATACTTTTTTACTCTCCTTTTAATCTCACATTTAGTTCACTTTCGAGTTAATTGTGCTTTAATTGATTGGATTTTCGGTCCAATTTAACAACCGGTGCTACTAATCAGTTTTGTAAGTTTTAACAGATTTTGGACATTTAGAAGCATCCCGAGCCATCATGGAAGACCGAGAACACATTTGGTCAATTTTGGGTCAAGATACAGTTGACCCGTGAACAGGTCAACCTTCCTATGGTAGTCTGCCATCTCTCGTAGTCCATCTAGTAGAGCAGCAACAAAGAATCCAACGGGCAGCAGAGCAACCCGCAGGAGCAGAACAGGATGGCAGCAGCGAAGTCACGGCCAGACGCCGGGATCCAGGACATCACCATCGCCATAGCCCACACAATCACTACCAGCCGTCATCCTCACGAGACTGCACTCCTACGCTTCGGCCAACTGCCCCGGTCTCTGCCTAATCACCGTTGCAGGCGTCCCTCGAGATGGAGAAGGTTCGCTGCCGCCGACCTCGGTAATCGCTTAAGTTTCGTCGGAGGAGAAGACCCGTAGCAGAAGCTCAACACGGCCATTGTATCCGCCCAACGACTTCGGCATCAGAGAGGAAAAGAGCTGCAGCCGCAGCTATGGTGAAGCTGAAGATCGGCCCTGTAAGAACTGATTGATCTAAACATGTCAAAAAACTCCCAGAATACTTTCAGATCAATACAATGATTAGTGGAAGCAAAATATGGAATTACATACCTCCAGCCATCTCCTTGGATAATACAGTGAACTGCCCTTCTTGTTTTGCTCTTTCCAAGCCCTTCTCTTCACCTTCACTTGGATGGTATGTGTATATAATGGTGAGGAGCAGACTCAGTGAGTGAAAACAAGAGCCAATCGGCCGCTATTTAATGAGCTCTTCCCATCAAGGAGCTCCAATCGTGCGGCAAAAGAATAGGGAGAAGTTACCGATCTTCTCTCGCTAATAAGTCGGGGAAATAATGAGTAATCTTTATCTAATAAATGGACCACTTCAGATTAGTTTTTCCCCTTAAATAAATGTACTTTATTTTCTGAATAATTAATATTAAAATATTAATTAAATAAAACGTAATTAATGGGAAAAACTAACATTCTCCCACTTGGTCCATTTAACCCATTTATCAAAACTTATAAGAGATAAAACATATGAATCATAGAGACAAGTCCTTTGCTATAAAGTATTATCATCCATGTATTACAATATATTAAATCTCCTAAACATATGCTCTTGACTTAATGAATAAACCACATGTTTTATTACAAGCCCAAATAAAATGGTATTTCTCAAAACAATCATTAATGTGCACAATAAGTTTGAGAATACACCAAACTGAATAAGAGTTTCATAATAAATAAACTTATGAAAATTAAATCATGGTACCAAGTCCCATGTGAACTACAAGATCCTGAAATTTCTTTGGTGGCATGCCTTTAGTTAAAGGATCAGCTATCATTAACTCAGTGCTAATGTGTTCAATGACCACCTTCTGATCTTTGACACGTTCCCTTATGGATAAATATTTAGTGTCGATGTGCTTGCTTCGACTTCCACTCTTATTGTTATTAGCCATGAAAACAGCAGCTGAGTTATCACAATATATCTTTAATGGCCTAGAAATAGAGTCCATAACTCTAAGCCCAGAAATGAAACTCTTCAACCACATACCATGCGATGTAGCCTCAAAACAAGAAACGAATTCAGCTTCCATAGTGGAAGTAGCAATTGAAGTTTGCTTTGCACTTCTCCAAGATACAGCTCCACCAGCTAGCAAAAATATATAACCAGAAGTTGATTTTCGGGTATCAATGCAGCCAGCGTAGTCTGAATCCGAGTAGCCCACTACTTCCAGCTTGTCACTTCGTTTGTACATGAGCATGAAATCCTTTGTTACTTGGAGATATCTCATCACTTTCTTTGCAGCTCTCCAATGCTCAACCCCTGGATTAATCTGATATCTTCCCAAAACCCCCACAGCATATGCAATGTCGGGTCTAGTGCAGATTTGAGCATACATAAGGCTTCCAACGGCCGAAGCATATGGGACATTTTTCATTTGTTCCCGCTCAAAATCATTCTTGGGGCATTGACTAAAATCCAGTTTATCTCCCTTTACAATGGGAGCCACGCTAGGTGAACATTGCTTCATGTTAAATCTCTCTAAAACTTTGTGTGTGATATAGGATTCTTGAGACAAGCCTAAAATGCCTCTAGATCTTTCTCTATGGATCTTTATGCCAATGACAAAAGATCTCTCTCCCATATCCTTCATATCAAAAAAATTTTAGAGAAAACTTTTCACCTCATGCATCATACCAACATCATTAGTTGCAAGCAAAATATCATCCACGTATAACACAAGAAAACATATTTTACTCCCACTAGTCTTGAGGTATATACATTGATCCATGATATTTTCCTTAAAACCAAATGAAGTAATAACCTCATTAAACTTAAAATACCACTGGCGGGAGGCCTGTTTCAAACCGTATATGGATTTATTTAGCTTGCAAACTAAGTGCTCACCTTCATTAAAAGAAAATCCTTCTGGTTGTTTCATAAAAACATCTTCCTCTAGATCACCATTGAGGAAAGCCGTTTTCACATCCATTTGATGTAGCTCAAGGTCAAAATGAGCCACTAATGCCATGATGATCCTAAGAGAGTCCTTTTTAGATACTGGAGAAAAGGTTTCCTTATAATCAATTCCCTCTCTTTGAGTGAACCCTTTGGCTACAAGTCTCGTTTTATATCTCTCAATGTTGCCTTGTGAGTCTCTCTTGGTTTTAAACACCCACTTACACCCGATGGCTTTTACACCACTTGGCAACTCAACGAGATTCCAGACTTTATTAAATGCCATAGAATTCATCTCATCTTTCATAGCATCAATCCATAAGTTTGATTCCTTAGATTTCATGGCTTGTGAAAACGTTTCGGGATCATTTTCAGCTCCTATTTCACAGTCAGATTCTTGTAGATACACTACATAATCACTAGGAATTGCTGGTCTTTTGACTCTATTAGATCTCCTTAATGTGGCTTCATCATCTGGTTCAACAACGGGCTGTTCAACCAGTTGTTCACCAGATTGTTCACCATTGTTTTGTTGATCTTCAACAATGGTATGATCTATTAGGTCATTTCCAGCTTCATGTGGATTCTCATTTATTGATTGTCCAGCACGCATCTGTACTTGAGGAGCATGTACAACAATCAATTTGTTACTTAGTTCGCATGGTTGATTCTCAATGTGATCCCTTTCAGAAAAAATATTCTGAAATTCTTCACTCCCACTAACTAAGTCATTTTCAAGAAACTTTGCGTTTCTTGACTCCACGATCCTAGTGCTATGTGATGGACAATAAAATCTATACCCCTTGGATTTTTCTGCATATCCAACGAAATAACCACTAAGAGTTCTAGGGTCTAACTTCTTTTCTTGAGGGTTATAGATTCTTACTTCACATGGGCAGCCCCAAACGCGTATATGATTCAAACTCGGTTTCCATCCCTTAAATAACTCAAAAGGAGTCTTAGAGATAGCCTTAGATGGAACTCGGTTTAATATACACGCGGCTGTTTTTAGTGCTTCAACCCACAAAAATTGAGGAAGTTTTATATTACTCCTCATGCTTCTCACCATGTCCATTAAAGTTCGGTTCCTTCTTTCGGCTACACCATTCTGGTCCGGAGAGCCAGGCATAGTGTATTGGGCAACAATCCCATTTTCTTGAAGAAACTTCGCAAATGGACCAGGTGCTTGTCCACTCTCTGTATATCTACCATAGTACTCTCCACCCCTATCCGATCTCACGATCTTAATTTGTTTATTACATTGCTTCTCTACTTCAGCCTTAAAAATTTTAAAGGCATCTAACGCCTCACCTTTAGAGCGAAGTAAGTAGAGATACATGTATCGTGAATAATCGTCTATGAAGGTGATAAAGTATCTCGGACTATTTGCATCCATATCTGGACAACAAATATCTGTATGTATGATTTCTAATAGGTTAGAACTCCTCTTGGCATCTTTCTTGTACTTGTTGGTTTGTTTACCCTTAATACAACCCACACAAGTATCAAAATCAGCAAAGTCTAGAGTACTAAGTACTCCTTCATCCACTAAACGCTTAATCCTCTTAATGGAGATATGCCCTAGTCTCCGATGCCACAACATAGAGGACTTCTCATTCACAACACACCGTTTGGAACCAGTTGTTACATGCATTGTATCATAAGCAACATCATTTTTCACATCAATTGAATAAAGACCATCAACTAAAGAACCAAAACCAATGGTTTTTGATTTATTTATTAAAGTAAAACCAGAACTTGAGAAATTGAAACTAAATCCTAAGGGAGCTAGCCTCGAAACAGAAATAAAATTCTTTGAAAAACTGGGAACATAAAAGGTCTTTTCCAATTGTAAAATAAAACCGCTGCTTAAAACTAAATTGCATATCCCAATGGCTTCAACATGTGAACTTATTCTTCCTCCTGAATAGATGCATTGTTCACTTGCCACTGGTTTCCTTAGATTTTACATACCCTGCAAGGTATTAGAAACATGGATTGTAGAACCCGAATCAATCCACCATGTGTTGTGATTAATATTAACCATATTAGATTCATAACACACAAAGGCTAATGGAGTACCTTTCTTTTCGAGCCAGCTCTTGAATTTTGAGCATTCTTTCTTCATGTGTCCCTTTTTCTTGCAAAAGAAACACTTTGACTCTTTCTTAATGACTGCCTTTGGAGGGATGCTGCCTTTAGCTTTGGCATGATCCTTCTTTTTCTTCTCATGGACAGTCAAGTTCACCCGTTCACCCTCTTCCATTATCAGCCTCTCCTCCTCCTGAACACACATGGTCAGTAGCTCATTAATTGACCATTTTTCCCTATGTGTGTTGTAGGAAATCTTAAAAGGAGCGTATTGATGTGGAAGAGTGTAAAGAATGTAGTGAACCAGAAAAGCATCTGACATGGTTACCTCCAAAGCTTTCAGCTGAGCTGTTATGTCCCTCATGCGCATGATGTGCTCACGCACGCCTCTTATCCCAGTGAGCTTCATGGATGCGAACTGTATGATTAAGGTGCTGGCAAGGGCCTTATCAGATGTAGCAAACTGCTCATCAATAGCCTTCAAAAGGTCCTTGACTTTAGTATGCTGATCGACAGAACCACGGATACCAGCAATTATTTTGGTCTTTATGAACATTACGGAGAGACGATTAGATCTCTCCCACTTTTCATAAAGATGAACTGCATCCGGAGTTCTGGTTGCCGTTATAGCCGGTGGTTCGTCTTTCCTTATAGCATAGTCAATGTCCATCCAGCCCAAATGAAGGAGCACACGCTCCTTCCAAACCTTATAGTTATCGCCCCTTAATTCGGGAATGTCACATTTCATATCAGAAACATTCGCAGGTTGAACAACTGTAAAATATAATATATATGTTCATTATTAATATTTGAGGTAAAATTCAATTCATATTCTACCAATGCAAAACATGATTAACTATGAGTCTAGTGACATAAAACTTACCTGTGGGCTAAGTTTTACTCAATTAGACACATAAAGCAAACATTTTGACAAAACTATCAGATTATATTTCCTTTCTCAATTCCTGTGGGTAGTTTGAGAAAAATAATCCAATATTTCATCCTAACTAATCATACTTATACAATGAAATTCCTGTGGGCAGATTCCATTATATCACATATAATTAATTACAAGTAATGCCTTAATGTGATTCAGAAACTTGATATGAAATTTAATCAATCAAAGATGCTGTGGCAATTCTTTAATTAATTAAACTACATTTCAATTCCAGATTTCCGGCCATGTTTTATTGAACTAAAGTGAATTAGCAACATTCTGGAGTAATCTAAATCGCATGTAGCATTTAAGTTCCATTACAATTTCAAAAACTAAAATTGTAGCAGTACACTAAAGTTCACAAAAGCAGCACGAGCAGTACTCTAGTTCCAGTCTAGTATAGTATGCAACTTATTTAAACAAAAGCAGTACACTATTCAAAATGGAATAATCTGGAACAGATGAATTGAAAATAGCTAAATAGCTCATGAATGAACTGGACCATTTCAATACCCAGGATTAAAACTTAAACTCTATCATGAGAACATAACATAAACAAGATCACTGGTGCTGAATTTGTTTCGGTGCATATTGTGTTGTACTTTAAGTCTTTCACGATCTTTCACCGATGCTTCTTGAGTCTTAAAAAATTAAATTTTAAGT